CCCCTGGGTAGGCATTCAGGGCCCCTGGGGAGGCAGACAGGGCCCCTGGGGAGGCAGACAGGGACCCTGGACAGGCAGACAGGCCCCCAGGGAAGGCAGGCAGGCGCAGGGGGCCTGAGGCCCAGGAGAGCTGGCCCACCTCTTCCTGTCCCATTGTCCTCAGTGTGTGTTGTGAGACAGGGGAGACTTTGGGAAAAGGGTGGTGAAAGGGGAGCAGGGAGTTTGCCAGACATAGAGGGAGAGGTGATTCAAGGCATTTCGGAAAGGAAAGCAGAAGTTGCTGAGGGATGGGAAAAATCAAAGGCGGGAAGCTTGCTCCAGACACAGGGACAGGAGCGGGGAGATGTGGGCAGAGACAGCTGAAGTCGCCTTGAAGCTGATGGTCCCATTCTGGTTAAAAAATAAGGGGATTTCCTGGACTTTGGAGTATTGGAGAGTTGGGTTTGGCTCAGTGTTTGGGTTTCTTCTCTCTCTAGTGTCCCTCCCTCCTGATCTCACCTGCTTTCTTGACTTTAAAAACCATCTCTAGACAGCTGACTCCCGATTTTGTATCCTGGCTTGGACATTCCCCTGCACTCCAGAATTTTCGATTCATTCTACTTGGGTACACAGATCGACATTTTCTTTTCTTTTTTTTTTAAAAAAGATTTATTTATTTATGCATATAAGAACTGGGGTACACGCCAGAGGTACAGGGGGCAAGAGGGTTCACCAGAGAAAGAGTAGGGAGCAGATGTATTGAAATACACTGCTGAGGGGAGCAGCGGGGAGACAGGAGAGGTCTCCTGCGCCATGTGGGTCACCTCCCTGGCTGGGGATCAAACTTGTGCTGCAGAGGCTGTGGATAGCTTCATAGAGCTGTGTGTAACCCCTTATGCCACCAGAGAAGCCCCAGATTGACATTTTCATTGGAACCTGATCATCTCTTCCCCCTCCAAATTTTTCTTCCCCATTTTGTGTTTGGTAACTCCATCTTTTTCTGTGCTCATGCAATTCTGGGGGCAGCCATCTCTTCTCTCATACCCCCTCATGATCCTCTGAAAATAAAAGGCAGATCCCATCTCTCCACTCATCAGAAACCTCCATTGACCTCTCATCCTACTACGAGTAGAAATCCAAAGTCCGTCAGGGTTACCAGGTGCTCAACTTCTGGACCTCCCGCCACCCCAGATCTCTGCCCCCCTTAGCTGCACTCCAGCTGCACTGGCTCCTTAAAAGTCCTGGAAACATACACCTGCCTCCAGAGGCCTTTGCACTTGCTGCTCTCTGCCCTGAATGCTCTTTCCCAGACAGCCACAGGCTCCAGTCCCTCCTTGGTGTTTTTGCATATCACTGAGGCCTTTCATGTGTGACCCTGATTAGAACAGCAATTCCCATGCATTGTTTTTCTCCATTGTCCGTCTCCTTCCTTTCCCGCTTTGACAGAATGTAAGCTTCTGCAGAGAAGGGACTTTTGCAACTGCCAACACACCCAGATCCAGATGAGACAGTATTAGCTAAATGAGTGGCTGTATCCAACGGAGAGGGGACAAGGTGATTCTCTAACCCACGCTCTGGGAGAGCCCCACACTGTCTACTTTCATAGAACTGGACAATCGAGACTTAGCAGACACTGGAGAGGGCATACACTGGCGCCGGTGCTTTGGGCAACAGTTAGACGCTCTTCAACACAATCAGCGTGGTCACTACCGGCCCAGCAGTTCCACTCCCAGGCATACGCCCAAGGAAAACTGCAAGTTCATGTAAGACCTTGTACTGAAATGTTCCCCTTTGATGTTTGCAATGGTCATGATTTTCTCAGCCCACGTTATTCACTATAGCTAAAAAGTAGAGACCCCTAAATGTGGAGAAGTCAAATGTGGCATATCCATGCCATGGAATATTACCCAGCCATAAAATGGGATGAACCTTGAGGACACTGTGCAAAGGGAGAGAATCCAGACACAGAAGGTCACGGGTTGTACGGTTCAGGAGATGTGAGTCCATAGATACAGAAAGTAGGTTGCTGTTTGCAAGGGCCAGGGAGGACAGGGTAAGGAGAGTGACGGTGATGGGTGTGGGGTTTCTTTTCAGGGTTATGAAAATGTTCTGGAATTAGCTAGTAGTGATGTTTGCATGGTTTTTGAATGTACTGAATACCGCTGAGTTGTGCACTTTAAAAGGGTGAATTGTGGTGGAATGTGGATGACATTTCAAGAGGAAAACAATTGAGAAGCTGAGAGAACGGGGAGCAGAAGAGTTCTGAGGTAGCATTTGGCAAGTGGGTGACGTGCAGGCTCTGGAAAGGGGTATTTGCAGCCACCCAAAACCCCTGATGGTCTGTCACTCTTTAACATGGTCTGACTCGATCCAGCGGCCACAGAAATGGAAGCTACTGCTAAGGCGTGGTATGTGCTGCGAGGGAAGCTGAGCTTGGTCCAGGGACACCTGAGGGAATCGGGAGCACTTTAGAGAGGGCAGTGAGAGGAGCTCTCTGAGGGAGGAGGCACCTGGCTGGGCCCCCAAGCTGCGAGACTGTGAGATTGGGAATGGCTTTCCGGGCCCGGGAGCCACGCGTCCAGACTCGGACGTGGAAACGAGCTTGGCTGAAGCGCGTCTGGGGAAGAGAAAGGCTGTGTGGCTTCCCTCTGGCTGGGACGATGGTGTCCTCTTTTTGGGAAAAGGTTTTAGGGAAGGAAAGTGACTAGTCCAGGACCACAAGGCTGGAGAAAGCAGAGCTGAGGGTGGGGGTGTGGGGATATGGGGGGTGGTGGTTCCATCCACCCTCTCACCGCCTAAGGCCACCAGTTGTTGACATTTGACTGATTTCCTTTTACATTCTTCCCCCCCATGAATATTTTACAAGTTAGTGAAGAGCATCCTGTGCATGAGATTTTCTCTCTTCCCTTGGTCTGAAGACCTCCCACGTGGTGAAACACATTTCTGAGTGTGATGACACTCCCGCTGTCTGCACTACATTTCATCGTGTGCTAGTGCCCCGCTCGGGCAGACTGTCCCGTGCTTCCTCTGTGCTTGTGAATATGGACGCTTGTGTGGCGAGTCTCTGTGCACGCATTTTCATTAACCTCTCAGATTGTTGCCCGAGGACCCCAGCTTAGAAATACAATCACTGGAGCAGAGGGCACGACGGCTGGGCACCTGCCAGGCTCTTACCCTTCCTGTAACGGGTGAGGCGGGCACGATCCCACCGCCCTTCTCACTGCGCCCTTCCCCTCATCCTGTCAGCGCGACGTCAGCTACAAAAACCGTTGGCTCGATATGTGACCATCACATCACTGCCAACCGACTTTACTGGCTAAATTATTTGGATTTAGCACTGAATTTTGTTGTCCACTTGGCTTGGCCTCCCCAATTTTCCTAATGGGGTCAGAGCAAGAGAAAGATGTTCATTTGTTTTTGCATCATGTGTTTAAAATATATTGTCTGTTATTATTAAGTTTAAAAATTCTTTCTTTCATCCGAGGATTTTATAAAGATTCACTTCTATTTTCTTCCAGTTTAAAAAATGATTTGCTATTTTGGGCCTCCCCGGTGGCGCAGCGGTTGAGCGCTGGGTTGCGAAGCTGCCCGCGGCCTCTGCGGCGCCGGTTCGATCCCCGGCTGCTCCCCGGCCACCAGAGGAGGGTCCCACATGGCGCGCAGACTCTCCCGCCGCCCTCTGCTCCCCTCAGCAGTGTACTTCGGTCCTTCTGCCTGCTCTGCTCCCCGCTCTGGCTCTGGTGAATTCTCTCACCCTCCCGCGCTTCTGACTGTACCCAGTGCTGTAGAATAAATAAATAAATAAATAAATAAATCTTTAAAAAAAAATTTAAAACGGCGACTATAATCACAAACTTTATGCTAATACTCCACAAAATAGAGCACCTGGGAAAAATAAAAAAAGCAATTGAATTGATTCATAGCAATAAAAATACGACTAGTCCATGTTCATGGAGGAAAATTTTAAGTAACAAAGAATTTGCCCCAACAATGAACTTGCCATAAAAATTATAGTTTTCAAGATTCCAGGGACACAATGATTCCTTTGCTCTATTTATTTTCTGATATCAGATCATAAAAGGTAGAAATTTACCTGATAAATTAGGTGATATGAGCGTATCTTTAATATTAAACCTTGACGAGGACAGGACATAGGAATGTATGACACGAGCCTCATTTATGAATGTCAATCTGGAGTTGAGCCCTGGCGTCCAAGGTCACCTGCAGACATGACATCAGTACTATGTCATATCAAGCCCACATTTTAAAATTGAGGGATTCCATACACAATCCAGATTCCTGGCTGCTCCAGAGAAGTTAAAAGATCTGAAACTCCGGAGCCAGGCTCTTGCCTGAGGACAGTGCTGAGGTGGGATGGGGACCCTGCCCTTGCTGGGGGTTTTCTCTGCACTGTCGGGTACCCTACATCCGGGTCTGATGAGAGGCCTAGAAGTCAGTCATTTTCACCACGTTGGAAGGGCTCATCTTCCGGTACAGAGACGTCTATGTCCTGAGCCTTTCAAAAGCAAGAAGACGAAAGGAAGAACAAGAAGATGCAGGAAAATGCTTCTACATTTCGTATCACCTGCCTTGGTATAAGATGATAGTGTTCAAGACAGAAGGGGTTGGCATAAGGGTAGACACATGGATCGATGCAACAGACTCCGAAAAACCATAAGTAACTCAGATATTTATTTTTTGACAAAGGAATCAAAACAAGTCAATGGGAACACGCCTCTGTGTGATGGGGACCCACAGCTCGTGTGGCCACTGAGCACCACCGTTTGGTGTCATAACAGCTGCCCCGCAGCTGGATTCCCAGGGAACCCCTAGGAGCTCAGAGCCACGGGGGCACTTCCACTCCAGGGGTGCAAGGGTGTCAGCTGCACCTCCCGGCCCTGGTGCGGGGCAGGCACAGGCGTCTTCTGGGGAGGCGGGTCCTCTGGGATTTACTCCCCACCAGCAGGAACAACACAGGGTTGGTGCAAAGGGGCCTCACTGGGGACACAGATTCATTGACGATGGGGGTGTATGTGAATCTGGGGGCTGTCATTGCTCAGGGCCAGCCTCTCTGTGTCTCTGACTCTGAGCTGTGTCTCAGGTGCTGGTCCCGGGGCTTTGCCCAGTGGGATGTAGGAGGACACAGGCCTCTCTCCTGGGGTCATTCCCTCCATGGCTGTATCCCCCTCCCCGCCCTTCGGCTGAGGGGGCAGGCGCAGGGCAGGAGGCTGGGCCTGTGTGCAGGGGGGTCACAGGGGCATGGACGTGTGTTTTCCAGGCTCCTCTGCTGTCACGGGTCCAGGCGCAGTGAAGGGCTGGGAGCGGGGCTCGCTGACCGTGCAGTGTCGCTATGTCCGAGGCTAGGAGACCCACAAGAAGTGGTGGTGTCGAGGGGCTGCCTGGTTCAGCTGCAACATCCTTGTTACAACCACCGGCTCGGAGCAGGAGGTGAGGAACGGCAGCGTGTCCATCAGGGACCATCAGAAGAACCACACGTTCACTGTGACCATGGAGGCGCTCACGCTGGGCGATGCGGACACTTATTGGTGTGGGGTTGAGAGAGAGGGACTTGCTGACCTTGGGGACCAAGTGAAAGTGACCGTTGACCCAGGTGAGCGCCTGTGCGTGTGGCTGTGTCTCTGCGGGGCCTGCTCTGTCCTGGTCCCTCAGGTCCTCCCCAGGGGTCACTGTCACTCAGGGTGACTGTCCCAGAGGGGGGAGCCTCACCCGTGGTCCCTGGGAGGGGGGATTCCCCGGATGCTCAAGGCTCCAGGCGCCTCCTGGACGGGAGGATCCTTGTGGCTCACTGTCCCCCTCTGCGCAGCTCAGCCCCTCCGTCCATGGTCACAGAGGTCAGGAGATGGACGTGGTCAGCACATGGGCAAAGGGACCCCTTCCATGGGACCTGAGACCCCAACTCCTTCTGTGCTTTCTTCGCACCTCCCTGCTCTTTTTGGATTTGGGGCTGGGACCTAAGTGACTATTTTCACTTGATTTTCCAGGTCTGCTCTCAGGGGGCAGGGCTTAGCCCAGTCAGGGGGTTGGCTGATTCCTGAGACCTGGAAACGCCCCCACAATTAAGGGGCTGCTTTCCTGGGGCCTGACATGCACCTGACCCCTTTCTGCACCTGGGCTCGTGGATGTTTTTCCCTGAGTCCTTCTAGAATGCAGACAGCCTGGGAAAGGCAGCTCAGGGATGCCTACCTGGGTGTGAAGGAGCTTGTCTTGGGAATCCATCCAGTGACCTCCCCGGGGCACTGTGGCAAAGGGGGGCACCAACCCTGGGACCTGGGAGGCACCTCACTGCAGAGCAGCCGTTCACGCCCTGTGGAGTCCTGACCTCGTCCTGGGAAGGGCCAACGTCACAGAAGGTCACCCCTCGCCCAGTGTGAGGGTCTCCCTGGACACGGTGGGCTCGGGTGGTCCTGACCTGAGTCAAGGCTGGTCTGTTGGTGCTGGGCGGCCCTGCTCTGCTCCATAATGGCTGGAGGATGAGATGGGCCTCTGGGGGGACTCAGGAGCAGCAGGGCTGTTTACAGTTCAGGGACTCCAGCTGCCTGGCCCTGAGCATCCTGGCCCTCTACTCCCGGGGCCTGCGGGACGCCCTCCTGTTCCCACAGTCCCACCTGCCCCCAGGCTCATGAGTCTGCTGGAGGCCTGAAGGTCTGAGAGGTTCATCTCTAGGCCCCCCAGACCCTAGGGATTCGCAGGCTCAGAGGAGCACACAGGGCTGGGGCAGGCTGGCAGGCAGAGTGTGTGTATTTGATTTGTGTGCCAAGCAGCCACTACAGTGTCCACCACCACCACCACCACCACCACCAAGACATCCACCACCACCACCACAACCACCACCACCACCACCCCCACAATAAAAGCGCCAGACACCCCTGAAGAGGACAAAGTCTCCCCGACTGTAACCGATAGCAGGTAAGCCAGCTCTGATGCTGCTGTGTCCTGTGCCTGCTGGGCCCACTCTCTACCCCGGGGCCCCTTGTAGCCACAGTTCCTGACCAGTACTTGTCTCTGGACCCTCTGAGGGGGAGGCTGAGGGGCTTCCCCTTCATCCCAGCTCAGGGGCCAGAGCCTGAACCAGGTGAGGGTGGGGTGGCTCCTGCTGGGGTCAGAGACAGGAGTGTCCCGGCCTTTCTCCTGCTTCCGGAGTTGGGGCACCCCTGGCGTCCCCTGGCGTGTGGCCCTGCTTCCGGGGCCTCTCCCTGGGGGTCTCTGCACCCCTTTCCCTCTGATCAGGACACCAGTCACTGGACAGGGCACAGCCCAGAGTGACCTCCTCACCTTGATGACACCTGCAAGGGTCGCCTGTCAGGAGGTCACCCCGGGTCTGAGTGGCCTGGACTGTGGGGGACACTATTCCACCAGCACTGGGCAGAGCCGGGACCCACTTGTGGGTCCATGCTTATTTGTCTTGGGTTCCAGACCCCCTGGAACTGCCTCGGGCCAGGGAGGGGGGGTTCTCTCACTGCCTTTTCTTAACCCTCTCCGAGGGCACCTGAGAGTGGGGTGTCCCAGGCTGGGCACCACAGGCCTGAAGGTCAAAAGGTGGTGTCCTCCCTGCAGCCAGTGGGTGGGAGGCCCAAGGGGGAGTTGGGGTGCATGGGGTCCCCTCTGTGTTTCCAGGGAAATTGTCACAAAGATCCTCCCCGTGGTGGCGGCCGTGCTGCTGCTGGTCCTGACGGCGGCCTCGCTCCTGGCCTGGAGGCTGGTGAGGCGGCAGAGGAAAGGTGAGAGGCCGGTCTGGGCGGAGGGATGGGGCCGAGGCCGCGCAGCCCTCTGGGCCCGCGGGACAGAGACCCCCAGGGGTCCCACGGGCCACCTGAAGGGCAGGCTGTGGGGCTGGGGGGAGACGTGGACCTGCGGGGAGCCCGGGGGGGGGCTGGTGCTCCTGCTGCTGCTCAACCCCGGCTCTCTCTGCTCTCTGCCCCGCCCCTGACGTGGCTTAGCTCTTGGGGCAGAGGCAGCCAGGGCCTTAGGCGCAGCCCAGCTACAGGCCAGGACACTGAGCTGGCACGGGGGCCAGGGGAGAGAACCCCCAGGCACAGGACCCTGCACACGCGACTGCGCACCCCACACGCGCGCACACGGCGTCTCCACGCTGCTCCCTCTGCCCGGCCCCTTCTGCCCCGGACGTGTCCCGAGACCGCGGCTCCTTAGGGATCCTCCTCGGGCCGGCGCTGGGCACGAGCTCTGGCCTCAGCCAACCCTTTCCCGCGGGCTCCGTCCACATTCTCACACCCACCCCCCGACTCCTCCGGGCCGGGCCTGAGCTGTCTCGGGACCCCGCGGCCGCCCTCCCCGGGCTCTGCTGGTCTGGGCGGAGGAGCCGGGTCTTCCTCGTCACTGTCCCCCGGACGCGCAGGCCGGGGCCCGGCTCTGAGCACCCCTGAGCCCGGGGGTCCCTAGACTTCCCCGCGGAGAAGCAGGAAGAGGCTTCTCTGTGGTCCGTGAAGCAGGAGGCTGGGGCGGGCGGCAGGGGTGGGCCAGGAAGACACGGGAGCCCGCGGGGCACCGGGAAGCTGGTCCAGACCGCGAGACCCCGCTGGCAGGTCCCCCGCAGGGCAGGTGGGGCCGCCTGTGTCCCAACAGCTGTGCCCCCGCCCCGTGTCTCCTGCGCTGGCACAGCCACACCAGGGCGCCCTCCCTGCAGCCACCGCCCCGGGACCCCCCAGGGCCTGTGGGACGTCAGTGACGGGACAGACAAACCCAGGGCAGCCCAGGGTGGGGCGGGGAGGGCTGAGGGGCCGGTAGCAGCGCAGGCAGCTCAGGAGTCCGTGGAGCTCGAGTGGGAACTGGGGGACATTGGGGGTTGGGGGTTCCGGGCAGGGCTGCCGGCCAAGGTGGCAGGTTGAGCCTGGGCTGAGGGGAAGGGAAGGCCCGGGGCTGCGGGCGGCCGGCAGGGCCCCCTGAGACTGAGGCGGGTTCTGTGACGTGGCCGCGGCTGGGCCGAGGGTCCTCACTCTCCAGGGGGAGAAGCGGGGGCCGCACGGGGGAGGTGACGATGCCGCGTGTGCTGGGCCAGCAGGGCCGGGGCCTCCCTGAGCAGGACCCGGCTCACCCTTTGCTCCTGTTTGTCTCCCCAAACCCGGGCCTGTGAGTCTCAGATGGGTTTTCTGATTCCTACTGTCTTTGTCTTGCAGCTTCCGGGATTTCCCCAGAGCAGGTGAGAGCCCCGAGGCCAGACCCGGGACCCCAGCCAGCCCCACCCCAGCACCAGGTCTTATACACCCAGCCCAGTGCCCAGCACAGGGCCTGGTGGGGTGGGCAGCTGGGAGGGGCCCTGGAAACAGCCAGAGGCAGGAGGGCTGGGAGGGGCAGGTGTGGGGACTGGAAGGGGGTGCTGGGGGGAGACCGCATTGGGCACCAGGGAGGCCGAGAGGCTGCTGTCCCTCCAGAGGAAATGTTTCCTGTCCAGGCCCCAGAGAGTGAACTCTGCTACGCCAACTTGGCCCTGCATCGGACGGGCACCACCAGGAGGGAGGCCTCCGCCCAGGTGGAGGTGCAGGTGGAGTACATCACTGCGGGGTGTGCTGTGGGCTGGGGGGCTGGGAGCCGCCTGCTGGGGCCACCCCTATGAGGATGGGCTTCTCCCACCCACGTGGGCCCAGAGGAGGGGGAGCAAAGCCACAGCCATTGAAGACTTGTCTGTGGAGCCCGCCCCTCACCCCTTCCTGCTTTGGCTTGGCTGTGTCCCCACCCCGGGGCTCAGCACTGGGAACTCAGACCTGGAGAACACAGTCCCTGTGCCTGGCAGGGGAGACCCACATGGCCGAGTGACCTGGGGCCACTGCATGGGGCTGAGGGGTGTCCTCTCTGGGGGGAGCTCAGGGCCCCTGGCAGAGGGCAGGGCAGGGGAGCTGGAAGGCCTAGGGTGGGCTTCAGAGCCTGGTAGGGTCAGTCTCGACACCTGAGGCCTCCCCCTCGTGCTGGCACCGCCTCCTGCCGGCTGACACCCACCATCTTTATCTCAGGGTCCTTCTCAGAAGGAGGACGTAACCTACGCAGCCCTTACTCTGGGTGCCCTGGGTCAGGAGCCCACCTACAGCAACACGGAGCAGCTCGTCACCCACATCCCCCGCAGCAGCCAGGAGGAGCCCGTGGAATACAGCACCGTCAGGAGGCACTGAGCCGGCTGAGTCCCTGCTGACCCCAGCCTGGCCCTGAGCTCGGGCCGCCTCATCTGTTCTATCCCAGGACCTCTCGAGGGACCCAGGAGTGACTAAGGCCTTGCTAGTGGCCAGCATCTGGCTTGGGCTCAGGGCCTAGCCTGAGGGGTTTCTAGCAGTGAGACAGTGGTCTCCACTTCCTTTCTTTCCCACCCTCTTGGGAGGAGCTGGGGACCAGCTGTGGTCCTGCCCAAGCTGTGATAACAACGATGGTGACAATTATGTCATGAAGCTGTATTAATTACTTAGTCTGGGTGATGTTCTCAATAGTGTCCCCAGGATATCTGCGCCCCAACACCGAAACCTGTGAGCATTGTCCATGAAGGTGGCAGATGTGATGAAGCCAAGGCTTCAGAGATGGGGGACCATCCTGGATGATCCCGGGTGGCCCCCAGTACATGTCTATAGAAGGGGGCAGGAGGGTGGCAGGAGAAGAGGTGCCAAGGGGACCGAGCCAAAGTGACTGCGCTGAGGTTGGAGCCACGCCGCTGGGAGCCCAGGAATGCTGCAGGCGGGTACCCTGTGCCCCCAGATGTCCAGCCCCGCTGAGACCTTGACTCCAGCCCAGGGAAACTGACTCCCTACTTCCGGCCTCCAGATTGTAGTGAATAAATTTATGTTGTTTTCATGGAGCCACTCGACTTGCAGTGATTTGTTACAGCAGCAACAGGAAGGGATCACGTGTGTGCGTGGCGGGTCACAGCCCTCCATTTCATGTGGGAATCTCCCTGGCCGGCCGGGAATCCAACCCTTGCTGCAGAGGCTGCGGACAGATTCACAGCGCTGCGCTCAACTAGCTGCGCCACCAGGGAGGCCCTGATCCTGCTTGGTTTAAAGTTGACAAATTGGGCCTCCCTGGTGGCGCAAGGTGTTAAGCACAGCACTATGAAGCAATCCGCAGCCTCTGCAGCACCAATAAGCAACCCACATGGTGCAGCAAACTTTGCCTGACTTGCCCGCTGCTCCCCTCAGCAGTGTATTTCAGCCAGTCTGCCTGTTCTGCTCCCCACTCTGTCTCTGGTGAGTCCTCTCACCCCCATACCTGCCGTCCCAGGGGGTGAACCAGGCTCTGCTTTCCTGGGTTGTTATCCCGCGGTTGGGTTTTGATGGAGGCAAGAACCTGGGGTGGGGTGGGAGGTGATGTTGCTGGGCTTCTCTACTTGGGGACCTCGTTATCCATGCCCTGCGGTGTCAGGCCCACTTTCCAGAGGCTTCTGAGCTGCTTGGCGGCAGCATCTTGGATGCTTTGTGAGTGGATGTTCCCAAGCCCATTGATGTGCCGTCAGGGCTGGACCAGGCTGGTAGCTTTGCCAGGCCTGCGCCAAGCTTCAGGAGGTCAGCAACCAAGGGGTGGGCAGCTCCACTTCAATCCTCCCTTTCCCCGAGGACCCCAGGGATCCAGGCAGGGGTGCTACAGAGAGACCATGGGAAGAGTTCGGGGTGTGGAGTCAGATGGTCGGGGCAGGGGTCAGCTGTTGTTATCTGAATTCCCATAATGCCTGTTGTGACCTTGAACGAGTACCTTAAATTTTTTTTGTATCTGGCCTCTGTTTCTCTATTTATGATATGAAATTATTAATAAAGCATGTGATAAGTGAAGGTGTCCTAGCACATATTAAAGTTTGCTGTAAACGGTAAAATGTTCCACAGGAATCATGTGTCCCGACCCGCGGGATTCGGAGGCACGAAAAGAGAAGGGCTGAGGATTGAAATGAGGGGCTTGAGACAACTTAACGCTCGCGCGTGCTTCTTGATTTTTCCTTTTCCTTCTCTTCCTTTTCCCTGTCTTTCTTCCGTCCCTGCCTTCTCTCTGCTCCTCTCGCAGTACCCCCCTTACTCTCTCGTGGTTCTCTTCTTATCTCTCTCTTCTTCTCTCCCTCTCTCCTGTGTTCTCCTCTTATATCCTGGTAGCTCCTCCCATCGTACCTCCCAGTCTCATTTGATTAACAGGAAAAACCTGTGGTTTCTCAGCAGGCAAAACGGAAAAGCGAAACTTAATTGATGGCATGTGTTTTCGCAACACTGCGCATGCTCCGGACAATCAGGAATCTCTTTTTATCATTTATTATGAGCAACTATTTGTCTCACCGGTCTCTAGATTATAGCACAGAGATGATTTTTTAAAAATATTTATTTTACTGATGTATGCATATAAAAGCTGGGGTGCAGGCCACAGGGGCCAGAAGTGAGAGGACTCACCAGAGACAGAGTGGGGAGCAGAACAGGCAGATCTACTGAAATCCATGGCTGAGGGGAGCAGCAGGGAGACAGGAGAGTGTGCTGGGCCATGTGAGTAGCTTCCTGGCTAGAGTTAAACTCAGACCCTCAAGCCGCAGTGGCTGGTGACAGCTTGATAGGGCTGAGACTTTAACCCCTGTGCCACCAGGGAGGCCCCCGCAGAGATGATTTTATATCCCCAGTTCACAACCTAATGAAGCCTGGGAAGGAGACCTGGGGAGAGAAAAAGACCCAATGAAAAGGCAGGTTTGAGACTGACCCCCAGGAGGGGGACATTCCTGCAGGGCTGGGAGCTGGTGGCTGTGTCCTGCCTCCTCTGGGCTAAGTCTGTACCAGCAACTTTATTCCCTTCTGACTGATCAAAGGCTGCTCAGTGAGAAATTGGGGGAGGACGGGTCTGGGTGACTGGATGTTCCCTGGGGATGTTGCTCTCCTGAGGGGCTGGGGTGCGGTGGGGGGGGGGCAGAGTGGATGCAAAATTCAAGTGGCAGCAGGAGGGAGAGGGGAAAGATTGTGTTGTTTTTACAAGGCTCTTCACAACAACAGATAACAGAAAGCAAAATACCTCATTGTCACCAACCCTGCCTATACCTGTGTGTGTGTGTGTGTGTGTGTGTGTGTGTGTGTGTGTGTGAGTGTTCGTGGCAGCCGCCAGAGGAACAGAAAGGAAATACGACTCAAGCACAACTTGGGCACAGGCGCCTCCAGCCCGCCCGCGGCATCTGCAGAGGCTGCATGATGAAGTGCATCTGCTGATGGATACACTGTCTGCTAATAAACAGAAACACAAATTCAAGCAGAACGTAGCGAGCAGACTTTGGCATCAAGGTCAGGGAAACAGGGATGATTTGCTGGGAGGATTCTTGAGCTTTGTTGGTTTCACCAGTTACATTATTTTCACAGCACAGTGGGATCTGGGTGCTTTAGCTGCAGAACAAGGTCTACAGGACCTCGGCGGCGGTCAGGGAGGGTTAAGATTTCCAGATCTGGAGTTTGTCGGGGGCCTGCAGCTCTTTCAGAAAACCTCTGTGCATGGACCACTGAGTGCTGCGCAAGTTAGCGAAGGGCTGAGTCTCCACTCACACTTGCCATCTCCGGGGACCCGTCTCCTGCCTGGGGAGGAGAGGCTGGGACCAGGAGCTTGTCGGGGTAAGTTAGAGTCACTTCAAATTTCCTGTTCAACAGTTTTCCGCCTCTGCCTGTAGACTCCAGCCAAGTGGGGTTTCCTGCCCTGGATGAAGGCAGCCAAAGTCCTTCCCAGAACAGCTTCCAGGAGGAAACCTTTGAGCACCAGCACTAGGGAGCAGATATTTTCTCACAAAAGGCCCCGGAGACAGTGAAGTGGAGGCAAGAGCGCTGTGGAGGAAGCCTGGCGGCTTTGGAGAACCTTCCTCCTGGGCCTGAGTCACCCTCAGATCCTGCTGAGGTTATTCAGGAGAACCAGCCAGCACCGCTCCCCAAGTCAGCTGCCTTCTCTGGGGTCCCAGCGGGGCTGCCCATTAGCCAGAGGAGTCCTGGGCGGTCAGAGGTCATGGCTGACGCAACACACGCTTCATGTATTTATCTGAAAGCCTCCGAGCAGGCCAGAGGGAAATGCAGAGATTCTACAGGAGCGGCTCACCTTCCTTGGCTTTCTTGTTTGTTCTCGAGCCCAGGGTGAATCTGACAAGCCCTGGAGCCAGTGTTTTCACTTGGATGTTATAGATTTGTTCCATTTTTAAATGAAAAAAAAAAAAAAACAAAACAAAACAAAAAACCTGCCGTATTGAGGTCTGAGACTGTCTTTGCAAGTGAAATCTCTCCCCCTGCAGAGTCTGAGTTTTCCTGTGGAATCTGATTCTTTGGTCATATTTGTGTTCCATTAACATTGTCTAATGGACAAAGACCCTGCCCCTGAGGGGTGAATAACAAGGGCTGGTGGAGGGAGCATGATAGCAGGCAGGGCCTTTCGCAAGCGATTGGTGTTACTTGGCAAACTCTCTCTGGGGTCTGTGGGTGACAGCCCCTGTTGGGGGCGGGCAGAAGTCACAAGTGAGAGAAAGTCTGACCTTGAGGTCAGAAGTGACGGTCTCCCCTCGAGTTGCGCCCCCGTGTCTTCCTGCTCTGGTCTGAGGCCATCTCTGAGGCTACACAGCATCACGGCGATTTGTGCGCGTGTGTGGGACGCGGCTTATCGAAGGTGGGGACAATTGTGTGTTTGTCCGTGATGCTCCGTGTAGTTTCTTTCACTTTGGAAATGTCCCAGATGTGTTTGTTGAATGACTAGCTGAGATACTTTTAAGGGTGTAGAATCACAAGGTGAGCAGAGAAGAGGGAAGTCAAGGCCAGGGGAGAAGAGGAGGGGGCAGAGCACCCCTGGCCTCTCACCTGGAAGAGGAGTTGGGGCAGAGGCAGAGAGAGTGGAGATCCCTGTGGGACAAGCACCTTCTGCCGGCACCTCCCTGATCCCTCCAGCACTGTCATTTCCCCTGGCGAGGACCAAGCCCTGCGGGAACAGATGGACAGTCTTGTCTGTCTGTCCGCTGCTCACGGGTCTGTCTGAGATGCTACAGGGGAACTGGCTCTGCCTTACCGGGCGCCTTCACCCACCCCCCCACCATAAGCAAGCCCGGCACCTGGCTGTGCCTGCGCGTGGTGATGCTGAATGAGGAACAGGCTCTGCACTGAGGCCCCTTGTCCTGGTTCCCTGGTGTCCCGGCAGGAGCTGCCCTGCTCTGGGCTTC